AGTTTATAAGGAAGGAGAAATGGCTCAAAGAAGGAGAGTAAGAATGGTTGTACAATTCAAGTTAATCAATGTCACTGAATTGTGCATGTTAAAACTGTTCGACTGGCATGTGTTTTGCTGTGTTGAACAACAACAAAACAAAACAAATGTTTTTTGTTGTTTTTTTAAGTCTCTTATACATCAAAGCAATCCCCAGTAGCATACTGGGTTACACAATTAGTCTGCTAACCATAAGTCAGTAGTTCAAAAACACCAGCTACTCTGCATGGAGAACATGAGACTTTCTATTCTTGTAAAGAGTTTCAGTCTTTATTTCTAGCCACAATTTAAGAATAATTAGTTCTTATGATATAGCCCCACTCAAGGCTTGCCCTCATGAAAAGATCACTGCTGATATGCAAATTGTGATAAAGAATGTACTTCAGAGGACAGCATGTGAGAAATGCAAAAGGTTGGAGAGAGAGGAAAGGACATCCTGGCCCACCAAGCCCCAAGGATGATGTTCCTGCCCAGAGCTGACAAGGCACGGGGAGGACCATAGGGCTGGCCCCACCATGGGACACGGCGTCCCTCACTGTACCATGATGCTGTGGGGGACAGCACTGGAGACACAGTGCAGGAATAGTGCACGGTCTGGCCCCATCACGCTGGAGCCAAGCACTGAGGGCATGCAGCAGAGCAGCAGGTGGAGCAGAGTGATGAAACCCACTGGGAATACCAAAAATAGACTTGGGAGACAGTGTCGCACCCCATCAGACTCCACTGGAAAACACGCGTAAAGGCTAAAAAACAGACCTTGAGTTATTTATAGGTTTTTCCATTTTTGTCAGTTGCTTTCTTTTAATACTGTTATTTTGTTCTTGTTTTCTGCTGTTGTTATTGTTTTGTTGGTTTTGACTTCCTTTGTTGTTTTATTTGGCATTGCCTGGTTTTTGCAATTATTAAGGGATCTGCATGTCTATCTAGATAAGATAAGCGGGATAAATAATTCGGAGATGAAAAGAATGGGGCCAATGGCTCCAGGGGGATATAGGAGAAAGGGAGGTGGGAGAAAGGCAGGGGGGTGGGGGGACCAACCCAGAGACAAGGGAACAACAAGTGAACTAAAATAAATAGAAGGAAGGTCGTAGGATGCCTAGTGGGACTCAATCAAGGACAATGTAGCAGTGAGGAATTACTAAAACTGAATGAAGGCCGAACATGATGGTGGGACAAGAGGGAAGTATAAAGGAAATAGAAGAAAGAACCAGGAGGCAAAGGACATTTATAGAGGCCTAAAGACAGATATGTACATATGTAAATATATAATTAGAGGAATAGAACTATCATTAGAGAGGAATATAATTAGAGAGGAATAGAACTATATATTCATATTTACATGTTAAGAATTAAGGTTGCAGATGGACATTGGGCCTCAACTCAAGTACTCCCTTAACACAAGAACACTTTGTTCTAACAATCCAGCATTCTGTGATGCTCACCTTCCTGACATGATCGCTGAAGACAAAACGGTGCATAAGTAAATATAGTGAAGAAAGCTGATGGTGCCCAACTATCAAAAGATATAGCATCTGGGGTCTGGGTCTTAAAGGCTTGAAGATAAACAAATGGCCATCTAGCTCAGATGCAACAAAGCCCACATGGAAAAAGCACACTAGCCTGTGTGATCATGAGGTGTCGATGGGATCAGGTATCAGGCATCTAAGACCCAGAACAAAATCATACTCAATATGAATGGGGGGTAGGGGGCATGGAGTGGAGAACCAATGCCCGTCTGTAGACAAATGGACATCCCCTGACAAGTGAGCCAGTCAGGGTGCAGTACGGCACTGGTGAAACATACAACTTTCCTCTAGCTCTTTGGTGCTTCCTTCACCCCACTATCATGACCTCAATTCTACCGTACAAATAGGATTAGATCAGAACATGCACACTGCTAAGATCCCGCAACACAGGAAACCAAGGCTAGATAAACCCCTCAGGGCTAACAAGGAGAGTAGAGATACCAGGAGAATTAGGAGAGGGTGGGGGGATAAAGGGGGAACCTATCACAAGGATCAACCTAGAACCCCCTCCCAGGGGGACGGATAATGGAAAAGTGGGTGAAGGGCAATGGAAGACGATGTAAGATATGGAAAAAATAATCTATAATTTATCAAGGGTTCGTGAGGGAGGGTGGACAGGGGAGGGAGGGGGAAGAAATGGGGAACTGATATCAGGGACTCAAGTGGGATGAGAATGCTTTGAAAATGATGATGGTGGCATAAGTGCAAATGTGCTTGACACATTGGATGAACATATGGATTGTGATAAAAGATGTAAGTCCCCCCAAAAAAAATATTAAAAAAAAAAATGAACTGTGAAAGGTGAAGCAGCCAAGTGGTACTAGAGAAGCTGACACTCAGAGAAAGCGGGGGTGGGGTGGGGATATAGTATGCTCACAATTATCTGTTCATTATGAAAAAAAAAAAGGCGGGGATAGCAAATATCCAGGTCCTTCTGTGAGCCATTCTCTGTGCATGAGTGGTCAGAGGTAAAAACAAAACAAAACAGGCCTGGCTAAATGAAGCTGGAAGTCTCATGTTTTTCAAGCAGAATGTTATAGCACATTTGTGGGTCATGAAATCCATTTTGTGAACTATGGCCAGAATATTTTTAATCAACTAGAATAGAAAATAGAGTGTCTTGATAAGATTGAATTATTGAATAGTATGACATGTGGAAGAAGTGCCAATAAAGCTGTTAAAAAAGAAATAAACTAGAGTGTACCACACATTGAAAGGTTAAAAATTACTTCAAGATGCTTTTACTGTGGTTTTGTTTTATTTATTTACTTTGGGGGGAGTGGCCAGAGTCATGAAAGAACAGAACTAAGGCTATTTAAGAAAAGTTACATCGAATATGATTTCAGATGATTACAAATAAAGAACTCTGTAATTATCTGAACTTTCAAATAGCCTTAAGTAAAAGGTAGTGATTTCCTTTTGATAAGACTAGGTGAGCTTTAATGACCTGGGTTTACAACACTGGCTAATGTAAAATCACTAGTGTTGATAGTTGCAACAACAACAACGAATTCATCCAACCTGCCCAACTATTTCTTGTGCAGAGAAGCTCACTTCTCTTTCCAAAAGAATTAAATGTTGACTCTGACAAGCACTCCCATTTTGATATGAACTCTCGAAGTGGACTGCTCTACAAGACAGACAGACTACGGGACCTCAGAAGTCACATCGGGCCTGCAATTCTATCATCTAAACTGAAGCTTTATGGAAGAATCTTACTCTTCTGAATTCTGAGGAATCAGGATTAATTAGAACCTAAAACCTTAAAACTAATGTCTCAATGCTCCTGAACTGCTTTCTCATGGAATTACCAGGGCTTTGAAATGCTATAGTTTGCCTTAGGTAAAACCACATTCATTACTGATATGTTGTAGAGTGGAATGGAAGAGAGGTGGATCAATAGCTATTTTATGTTTTCACATTCTGTGTAACTGGTTGTCCTTATCTGACCTACCCAGGCTCATTGTACCCAATCTATATGAGCATTTATCCCACTGCTGCAGCTACATAATTTAAAGTCTGTTTTCCCTCACTAGACTATGAACCCAAAGATGGCAGTGGCTATGCTTTACTCTGATCTGTCTCCCCAGCAACTCATACAATGCTTGGCACACAACACGTAGACAAAAAGTTGAAGAAGCCCCTCCGGTACCACTAGAAAATCAGTGTGATATTACCATAAAATAACCCAAAGAAAAAGTTGACATATCTTGGTGACATTTAACTGACATTTGCAAAAGAAACCTGAAAGGAGGCACACTTAGACTGCTTGCTATCATTAAATTAAAAATTTCAGTTCAGTAAGTAAGAACTTTATACTTAACTCTATGATGGTTACTTCCCTAGCATTTCTCAACCACAAAGCAAGTACTTTCATTAATTCCATTAGAAACATTTCTGTTTAAAAGTTAAGATGGCCTGATATTTTTATATCAAATGCCAACTCTTGAATATAAATTAACTTTACAGGCATTTCTTAAATAAATACCACTCATATTCTATGAATACTTTGCTATGGACAGATTAAAAGAAAGCAAACTAGTATAAGGAAATAAAAATATTAAACACAGTGTTCAAATTAATGATAGTATATTTAAAATAAATTAAGGATATCATTGTGGAAATTGCATAATTTCATGTTAATTTGATAAACAAAGTGAAGGGGTGGAGTCTAGCCTGTCAATCAGGTCAGCCTAGTGAGCCCTCCTTCTGGGCCTGGCCTTCTCATGAGGATTCCAGGACTTCCCCTCTGCTTCCCTGGAGGTAGAACACTCTCTTTCTGTTTCACATTCCTGTTGACAAGCCACATGGAGTCATGTTGATGGCAGCCAGAGCCCTGGAGATGCATCCACTGTCATTGGATCCACAGGACTTTCCACCATTTGGCATCATTGCACGTGCTGCATTGAGTCTGACGAGGAATTTGGGGGCTAATATTGGCCTTACTGGCTGATATTGAACTCACAGGCTTGATCTGGACTGGGCTAGGATGTTTTATTGATGCATAATTACTTCTTGATATAAAGTTCTCTCTTATATCTATTTGAGTGTCCTTAGATTTGTTTCTCTAGTCAACCCAGACTAACACAGCCATAGTTCAATCTAGAGAGGTTTCTTTTAATAATGAATTTATTATTTGGGGCTTAAAGAACAAATACCTTCCTAAAAAACCAAACAGATGAATAAATGGGCATTGTCAAAGCATCACTACACTTTTATTTGCATTCAATTTTCATATGATTTCTTAGTAGAAATTTGCCTAAATTTTCTTTCACGAATTTAACGTTGGGTTTCCAAATTCAATTTATACTATCATATGGCTGAAAATTTAAAAAGAAGTTTGACTATATGACAAAATTTTAAAATAGAAAATATTGTTAAAATATAAAATAACTACCATCTATATTTAGTTAAGGTGTTTAAAGTTATCATTACCATATCCAGTAAATGCATGTCACTGTTCTTCACATTTCGACCTGGGCTTAATAACATTCCAAAACATCTGAAAATATTGAAAAAAATGAAAAGGAAAAATAAGATATAAAGACTATATTGAAATCTAGTGAGCAAAAATCCATTTAATATTAACTGTACTATTATATTAGCTAAAATCTGTACTCACAGATAGCTTTAGTTTTTTTCTAGACACATTACAAATAAGAACACATTACGATACACAATAAAACTGTATAGAAAGAAAGTGTCTAAATTTCTGGACTTTATTTTACATATAAAAGATTACCAAGAATCCAAAATAGTAAAGATAATGGTCACAAATTCTGATTAAAAGAAAATATAGTACCAAGATAAAGACTGGTCTGGAGGTACAAATGAAATGTTACTGGCTTTCGAGAAACATACAGGTCAAGGTCAACTAACTAAGTTAAATCAAGGTGGTGGTTTGTTTGTTTTTTTAATAATCATTTTATTGGGGGGCTCTTACAAATCTTATAACAATCCATCATTCAATTGTATTAAGCACACTTGTGCATATGTTGCCATCAACATTTTCCAAATCATTTTCTTTCTACTTGAGCCCTTGGTGTCCTCTCCTTCCCCCACTCTCCCACCTTCATGAATCCCTGATCAATTATATATTATTACTGTTGCTTTGTGTCTTACACTGTCTGTTGTCTCCCTTCACCCGCAACAAGGAGGTGTGTTAAAGTAAGAACAAGATATTGTACTCTCTTTGTATCAAGTCTGATAAACAGAATATTTCCAATTCCCTCTGGGCCGCAACAATAATGTTTACTGAGCAGTGTATTAAAGTTATTTCCTATGCTTTTAAAGTTTTAATAATTACTAAATTCATATATGTATGTTAATGAAGATATTATCAAACATACTATTTAGTCTACCCTGTTTTTCCTGACACTAGAGAACTTTTAGAATATCATTAACACAAGTTTATTTGTAAAACCTCTTCACAATTCCTAAAATTCAGTCAAATCTAACATATTTAATTTGTTACATGTTGGTAGGTGCCATCAAGTTTTTCCTCTACTCTAGGCACAACAGAACAAAACAATGCCTATCCTGCGTCACCCATACAATTTTTGGACCCTTGTTGCATCCACTGTGGCAATCTATATCCTTGAGGGTCTTCTTTTTCACTGCCCTTCTACTTTACCAAGCACAATGTCCTTTTCCAGGGACTGGTCTCTCCTGATAACATGTGCAAGACAAGTAAATGAAGTCTCCTCATTCGCACTTCTAATGAGCATTCTGGTTGTACTTCTTCCAAGACATTTGTTTGCTCTTTTGGCATTTCATGGTACTTTCTATATTCTTTACCAGCACCATATTTCAAATGTATTAATTCTTTTTCAGTCTTCCTTACTAAATGTCCAACTTTCATGTGAATATCTGGTGAATGAAAATACCATGGCTTGGGTCATGAACCTTAAACCTCAAAGTTCAACACTTTAAAAAGGTCTGTGGCAGTAGATTTACCCAATGCAGATTTACCAATTTGTTAGATACTATATTAAACCCACTATTAAAGCCACTGCCAGTGAGTCCATTCCAACTTATAGGGACCTTTGTAGTGTCTTTGAGGATATAAATCTCTATACAGATAGCGTCATCTTTCTCCCATAGGGCTGCTGGTGATTTTGAACCACCAACCTTGTGGTTAGCCTTCCTACATTTACTCAGCAGCACCACCAACACATATTAACTCCACTTTACAGGTGAGATATTAAAGTCCAGAATAATTAAACAACTTTACCAAATTCATATTGCTATTAATTAGGTCATGTACTTCAAAAGGCAATGTGGTCTGTCCACAGTGTGCTGCCAAAAATTACATGCACACTTACTGGAGTACTTTTGATGTAGCTTTTCAACTTTTATAAAGATTCCATGGAGTATTTTGTAGAAGTATTTTATAGTAAAGACTGTAACTAAACATCATAGGATTCATTACACTTCAAGATAGTGCCAAATGGCCACTCAATGTTTAATTGACCTCTGTTGTTTTCTAACAGTTTACTTTTCCAATAGGATGCTTATCATTTCATGAACAAGATGAGTGATTGGGTCTGTCTAGAAAAGAATGCACTTAGTAAACGACAAAGCAAAATATATTCATACTTCCCCTGAATACTTGAGCATGCTTTGTACAAGGTCCCCATTTGTCATCTGAAAATGATCATGTTCAGAAAAAAGATAAAATCAACAAGCTCTTTGGAAAACTTTCCAAATATATTATTATGCCACTGAACAAAATAAAAATAATTATACTCTAATGTTCATAATTTTATTATGATTACTGTATTTAACTATGATCTCTCATTGTGAGCTCCCATAAGAAACACTTTGTAAAAATGAAATAATGACTAATCATACAGTTCGCTGTGGTACTTCTTTTACTGTTGCCTTAAATTTTTACTAAGGAAGAATGGAAGATTTCATTCTTTCTCAGGAAAAAAATCTGATCTCAACTAAGAAGTTAGGTCAATGAAGACAGAAGACTCCTCTCACACTTCCTTCCCTATGTATTTAGCATCAGCAAGCCTCACTGATGGGTTTTTTATGGGTTTTCTATTTTTCAGGGTTATTTGTTATAAAATTACTGTACATTCATTACAATAAGTTAGATAACTCACTGCCATTGGATAAATTCCCCAGTGACACTATCGGACAGGGTAAAATAACTCCTATGGGTTTCTGAGACTGCAACTCTATATGGGAGCAGAAAGCCTCGTCTTTCTCCCAAGGAGCAGATGGCAGCTGAAGTTAGCTAATACAGAAGAGAAAGATAGAGAAATAGACATATATGTGCATGTGTGTATATATATATATATTTATAAACACCAGTATATATAATTCCTCCCTTTGGTCCCCAATATCAGCTCCCTTTGGAACCAATGTGAATAGTCTAGTAAGTATTTTCCCTAACTATTCTTTATTCTTTTTGCAAATGTAAAAGTGTTATATTACTTTCGTTTACCAAATGCATTCAGGCAAATAGTAAAATGAATAAAATCATATATTGTCTTCACATAAAATCTCAATATTTAAAAGGATGTATTGCTCTTTGCCTGTCTTCTAAATAAAAGATCCTGCCACAAGTCAGCTGTGCAACCTTAAAGAAAGTACTTAATTCCCATGGGCCTCTGATTTCCTCATCCAGATAAGAGAAGAGGTATAATACATAAACACTCGGGCCTCTTCCAGCACAAAATTACCAAAAAAATTTTCTACCAAGTTGTATTAGTCATTTCAAAAATTATACTCCATTGAAGCACACTGGGTTTCCTATGGAGCCCAGCAAGACCTATTAAAGAAAATGTGTCAGGAATTAGACAGGCATTATTAGTGCCACAAACACCTAATGTGAATATTAAGTGTTACACTGGGGAGCTGCATGTGTTCAACTTTCTCTTATTAACCCCATAAATAATGTAGAAAGCACACTGTTATTACACCTATTTTCTCAAGGGGTTCACAGTCTAGTAGGGGAAGAAAATGAGTAGGCAGGCAATTATAACCTGATACGGTAAATTCTATGATAGTTATATGTACAGAAAACTGACAAAGTGCAGCTGAGACACGCCAACATTATTTATAGTATAGTAAGCAGCTGCCTTGATACAAAATCTCAAATATCCTGAGCATGAGATGATAACTTATTAGGATTAATAATGATGGCAGGTACTGTTTCTTGGATGCCTTAACTTTAAGACAGTCATTACTATGTTATTGCATTTTATATTTCAAAATAGCCCCCATGAAGTAGATGACAAAATTTGCTTTTATAAATCTGATGTGATTTACTCAATAATACATTGATTAAGTTATAGAACCAAGATTCAAGCACAAGTCTAGGTTCCAAATCACCTAGGTTTATCAGTACAAAAGACTGTGATTTGCCTGTGTGATCCTTGACAAGTCAGAAACTTCAGATTTTCACTTCCTACATTTCTAAAATACAAATATTATACTTATATGTTCTCTATATAAGTATAAAGTTTAAATGAAAACACTCATAGTGAAAGTACAGTGTCAACTACTAGTGATTCAGCAATTATAAAGTCTTATAATTCATAATAACAAAAGAGCCAAGGTTGACAGTTCAAGCCAACCAGGTGCTCCACAGGAGTAGATGAGACTCTCTGCTCCCATAAAGATTTGTAGTCATTGGGTCATTAGGATTCACAAGACAAAAGTGGGATTTTTTAACACTATCACTAGTAAGAAAAAGTGCTTCCTTCCATAATACTTGACTGACTTTTTACTCTAAACAGAAATTTTTAGAGCTTTTTAATATCAAGTATTTACCCATAACAAACCCTAAAAATGCATTCTTTCTAGCATAGCTTTAATCATTATTGGGGAAAAAAGAAATGTTAAACGTGATGTAAATGTCATGATTTATTTATGATTTTTCTAGTAGTGCATGAAAGCATTGGAATTCTCATAGCTCCATAAGGATTGTGGATCAAAATTAAGCAATGAGAGCACAAAGTGCAGAGGAAAGGAACAAAAACATCCAACAAATCATCAGTTGTTTCTTACTAGATCAGGTTTTACAGCTATCAGAGGAAAATATAGTTAAGGGAAAAATGAACTTTGCTTATGATAACTTTTGAGTTCCGAGGTAGAGAACGAAGGTGTTTAGGGAACTGGAGAGTAGGGTGAAAGATGGGAATCTGATGAGAAGATATAGAGAGCCATAGACTCGTGAGTCTTATTGATGGATAAGGTAAGAGTCCAAGATTTCTTATGAGATGAGGGGAAAGTACAAAATAAAAATAGATAATTTCAGTAAAGTGGGGGGCATGGTTACAGCTTAGAAAGGAGATCATGGCAGGGAAATGCAGAACTCTGGTGCATCCTACATTATTCTAGCCAACTGAGGTGTACAAAAGAGGGGAAAGGCACTATCACCACAGGAATGTAGAGCACTGAACACCCTCTTTGTCTTATTGTTTCTTATTCTTATTGTTGAAAAAATTGGAGCTGTAAATAAATGAGTAGGCACCCTGTGTTGAC